CCTCGCTGAGGCCTAACTTGCGCCCGTTTTCCCGCCATCCTGCCCCTTGCTAAAGCCTCGCTGCCTCAGGTGCGCTAGAAGCCGCCCACTCGGGGTGCCAGCCTCCCGCGCGCCGCCTCCCCGTCCGCTGCCTCTGCTCGCCGCCGGTCTGCCGCTGCTCTCCTGCGCTGCTCTTAAACTTCTCTCTGCGGCGGCGGCCTCCGCGCCCCGCAGGCTTTGTGCTGCGCTGCCACACTGCCTGCCCCTCCCCTTTTTTTGCGTGGAGCTTGGTCTGCGTCGAGCGGAGGCATCTGGAGTTGCTCGACTTCGGGTTTTAAGAAACACTGTGCAACGATTATATTGGCGCTGGTGGGGGGGTTTTGGGTTTTTTTTCCTTGCCGAATGGGCCAGTGAGATCCGGTGACTCGTTTCATTTGAAACCTTTTTCAGTTTTCATTATGGGGGATGTGGTTATTTATACAGTCTACAGGGATCGATAAATTCTATTTTAGTGAACGTTGGATGAGTGTTAAGATGGTTAGCAGTATTGTTAAGTTATGAAAGAGACCTTTATGCATCAGAGAGAACAATTTTTTTTACTGTCGTGATAAAGTGATTCGTGTTCTTCGAGTGTTACCCTTGTTCATCGGAGCACTGAATCTAGAAATAGCACTTGTTTGTACATATGAAGCCAACTAGTTCTGTTAATTCTCAGATGGAGCTTGGAGTTTTATTTCAGCGATATTGTTCTAATGAGTAATTAGTTACAGTTCAGAAGGCTTGATCATCCTGAGTTGTCACTTTTTTTTTTTTGTTGATGATGATCTTTGGTGACTTTAGAATTTGACAGCGATGTCATCAAAAACTTGCGTAGTAACACAAACACACATGAAACTGTTAAAAGCTTTTTGAGTTATTGACCCTAATTTTGTGGTTTATAGTTTTAGTCAGTACCTAAACTGATAAAAATATTCCACCCATATCTGGGAAGAAGGATTGGAATGTGCTTAACGATTTGAGAATACAGTGAGTAGTGTAGCTTAGTATTCTGGAGCTATTCTAGTTCATGTGTATTCTTTTAAATATTATGTAAATGGATTTAAAGACTGAAGAGGGAGAACATTATGCAAATGACAAAATAAATGTTATCTAACTTAAAATAGTAAATGGTGTCAGTCTTAGTGGAGAATTTGATGGTTAGTCTGTGTCCAGGGTTTAAGAGTTGAGAGAGGATCTGTTCAAGTGCCTGTGGAAAATGAGGTGTTTATAATCTTTAAATAATATATGGAAAATACTTGATCACTTTTTTTTTTTTTTTTTTTTTTTTTTTTGCTGTGGAGTCCTCAAATTGAAACTGAACTAATTGTAGTTCGTTCAGTAATATTAGATGTAGCAACATATATTTCAACTCTGCTTTCTGCAGTAAGTTTTTTATGTAAGTTAGCTTTGAAATTTTGGAATACTCATGAAGTCTGTATAGGAAGAATATGACATTTGAGTGCTATTGGCAACAGAATAGTAAACTTCTGAGGGAGAAGCAATATTGGAAAAGGTTTGGTGTAGATTTTGATACTTCTAGAATACACTTTACATTTAAAAAAGAAAAAGTAATAAAACTTAATAGTAGAAAACTGGTATTTGGATAAGTCATCTGCAACTTGTGTCATATATGTTAGTATGTACTCATGTTCATGAAGGAAAGAAGTACTTTCTTGCTGAGAACTAGTGGACAGTTCATATGTTGAAAGTGACTTTCTTCTTGTGTCTGTTCATAATACGTAGCCAAACTTATGCTTTTTCCTGTTATGCTAGTTTTCCATAAAGACCTTGCAAATGTGACATTTTTTTCCTCAGAAATCTGCTGAAATGTAAGCAGATTCTTTTCTGCAGATTTTATAAAATTAGGAGTAAATGGAACATACTAAAAATATTTTTACATTAATGACTGACTTGTTTCTCTGGAGTAATGGCTCAGTAGGCCAGGATGATAAATTTACACCTGTAAATAAGTTCATGCGATCTTAAAAACAAACAAACAAAAAAGGTTGGTATAAACTACAGAATAATTGAAATTTATTTCTGTATTTATAATTTGTTTTTTCTTTATAAACTCAAAGCTATTGCTTGGAAGTATATTATCTATCCGTAGGCGCAAGATGGTCTTATAAATTAACTTTGAGAATAAATTTTTACTTTATTTCACTTTCTAGTGTTTTAAGAAATGTGGTTATTTACACTGAACAGTTATTATATATTTGTAATATTGTCATTGCCTATGAATGTGAAAAGGTATATTTGCTTGATTTAATTAACTTTGAATGGAATTTTTGGGGGTGAGAAGAATGAAATATGTGCAGGCACAGTGGTTAACTTGGGTACCTCATCAGTTGCTGAGTATATTTGAAAACTTATTTCAGACAAGAGTGTCGGGGGAGGTTTTATAACTTTGTACTGTCTTTATTCAGTTAGCTAATAGATTTCCCTAATGTTAAACATAAAGCTAAAGTAGTTGAATAAAACACATGAATATGAGCTTTCTGAAAAATTATTTCTGTAGAACAGCCTCTTAAGTAGCTGTAAGCTGTATCGGTACAGGACAGTGAGAGTACTCGCTGCTGAATAAATATGCATAACAGGGAAGAAAAACCTTTAAAAATAAAAGGCTACTTTGTATATAAAAGGTGTTTAAAGATTTGTCTTGTAAACTTTTGACCACTTCCCCACCTTCTGCCCCAAAAGGATCCTAGGTGGTAGTGGCTTGCCAGCAACATACTAACAGAATGGGGTTGATGTGTTTTTCTGGATGGTGGTGGTCTTGGTTTTTTGTTTTTCTGAAAAAATCACCTCAAGATATTTTGTGTTGCTTTAGGAAAAATGAGTGCTGGCCTAATGTGTCACTGAATAAGTATGCTATCTCTTGAGGAGTGGAAGAATAAAATTTGACTTCTGGGGCTGAATGTTTAAGTTGGGGATTCCAAAACCTTTTACTGAAGGAGATAGACTATCCAATGTGTTCAGGACGCTTTTGAAAAGAATATACATGAACAGGGGGAATTTGGGAGCCTTTCACCTCATGTTTTATCTAGATCGGTAATCCATACTTTATTATCTCCTATTGCATGTTTGCAAATTGTACGCTGGGAAATCTAAAAGTTAGTAAATCCTGTAACATTTTTTCTTTTTTTTTTTTTTTAATCAAAGTTGTTTTTATGTCTCTCCCTATAAGTAAGCTAGGAAAATGCAAACATTATGAAAATGACAGGATGTTAGGAAATTACAGCAGAAGTTATTCTAAATCATGGATTTCTGGTGCTGACAGGACAGAAGATAAGTTTATAAGATCATTCCATACTTCACGGAATAGTTAAAATGAAAGTTCAGTTTCAAGGTTAGAAAAGAACCGACTTCTCCCCAAAGCCCGTAATAATTCTAAATAAATAGTACTGTATGAAACATAGCTATACAGTATTCACTTTTGTTGATCTTTGGATATCTAATTGCCATATTGTACTAGTGATTACTAGCCTGAAGATTTTTTTTTTTTCCCCCCCTGCATTTGGTAATAAACCTGTGAATTGACCTAATCTTTTTGTATCCTTTTTAATGAAAACTTAAAACAGTGATCAGGCTAAGTGATAATGCTGCTGCTAAACAAAAATAAAGACAAGAATACATTGGAAAATACTTCCAAAATTCAGAACATGGAAAATTGTAAAGGTAGCAAGGATTTATTTAGCACTTGGTATATTTTATTTTGAATAATTACAGTAGAAACAGAGTGCTGCAATGAAGAAGTTAAGGAGAGCTGAAGTATTTGAAATTTGATAAGGTAAATTATTGGATAACTAGATTACAGAAACAACACCTGGAGTTCTTATTTAAATATTCAAATTACAAATTTTATTGTTTCTGTCTTCTGCTTTAGTTATTAGAGATTAGTTTGGTGCTTCCAAGTTGGGCCTTTAAGACAAGATTTTACAAGATATTATTGCTACATGTGGCTTACAATGCAGACCGTTTAAGTTCCTGAAGTGTGAAAAGTGGCCAAAGTTGGGGGATGTCTTTTTTTTTTTTTTTCCCCTTTTTTTCATTTTTCCCCTAAAAGTGATCAAGAAATAGGATGATAAGGTGTCTTCCTAAGCTTGGTGTCTTGAGATATGGAGAGACGCTAAATGTGGTATGGTCTGAATGAGTTCCATATGGTAGGAACACTGATTGCCTGAATATTCAGTTTCCTTAAACACAGGGCAAAACATTCTTTAAATATATGATCTGTCTGTATAAGGTATAAGACTGTTAAAGAGTCGATTTGGTAGTGTGGCTGATGCTGTGTATTTGCAAGGGTTTGTTGTAAGGCAACCATTATTTATTCATTAAAAAGGTAATCCTTGTGTTTGCATTTTCTAGTCGTCAACAAGAAATTGAAGAGAAACTCATAGAGGAAGAAACTGCTCGAAGAGTGGAAGAGCTTGTGGCTAAACGTGTAGAAGAAGAGTTGGAGAAAAGGAAGGATGAGATTGAGCGAGAGGTTCTCCGCAGGGTGGAGGAGGCTAAGCGCATCATGGAAAAACAGTTGCTCGAAGAACTCGAGCGACAGCGACAAGCTGAACTTGCAGCACAAAAAGCCAGAGAGGTAACGCTCGGTCGTTTGGAAAGTAGAGACAGTCCATGGCAAAACTTTCAGTGTCGGTTTGTGCCTCCTGTTCGGTTCAGAAAGAGATGGAATACAGCAAATCTAATTCCCTTCTCGTATAAACTTGCATTGCTGCGAAACTTAATTTCTAGCCTATTCAGAGGAGCTCACTGATACTTAAACAGTTATTCTCCTAAAACCTGAACAAGGATACTTGATTTTTAATGGAACTGACCCACATATTTCAGAATTGTTTGAAACTTTTGCCATGGCTGCAGGATTTATCAGCGGTCCTTTCATTTTTGGGGAAGGGTATTGAAAATCTGTAATTATGTATCCTTCATTTGTTTCATTTTGTTTACCTAGACTGTAAGAGGCTTTTGCCTTCAGTCAGGCAATAAGCAGGGTCCAGCAGTGAGCTGCAGTACCTGTCTTTAACGAATAGGTTTCTTACTCTTCATTTAAAATGAACATTTCCTTGAGCATACATTGGACTAATTCTGGGACTTCGAGCGTAAGCCCACCCACGTCTTCACGGAGGATCTATGTCCAAATCATTATATCAAATTTTAATAACTACTAACAACTCCTTTTTTTTTCCCTAGAAGTTATAAAAGAGCAGGTTGCCCTTGTCTGAAGTCAAGCTGAACATGTGACTTGGGTTTTTGGTTTTGTTTTTTTTTTTTTTAATCAGCAGCTGGAGCAGAAGCTGAAAATGTCTTTCTGTGAGACAGTAATTTGCTACTAAAGGCTTTGATGCCTGCCTGCACCAATCATTCCAGGATCCAGAAATTTCAAGACAAACTTTAAACTGTAAAGGAAATTTGTGCTAAATAGTCATAAGTCTCAAATGCCTTTTTTACTCTGTACCTCCTACACAGCTTATTTTAAATTAATATTTTGATTGGCTTACAAAAGGAAAGACAGTAGCAATGAAGCTT